CAAATGGGGTATGTCCAGTATGTAGCCATTTGGTCACAAACACCGGCCAAAGTTAGCGTTAATATTTGTTTGTGTGTGAAAAATGCAAAAAACACCAATTTTGGCCAGTGTTTGTGAATAAGTGGCTACTAAAAAAGACTGGACATACCCCATTTGCAATACCTTGGGTTGTCTACTATTGCAAATGGTATGCCATCATAGGGGTAATTTTCATTCTTGGGCTACCATAGGGTCTCAAAGGCAACTTAACCAATCTGGCAAATTTTAATGTGAAAAAAATGAAACACAAGCCTTATATTTGATGCTGTAACTTTTGAAAACACCATAAAACCTGTACATGAGGGGTACTGTTGTACTCAGGTGACTTCGCTGAGCACAAATATTTGTGTTTCAAAACAGTAAAAAGTATCACAGCAATAATATCGTCCGTGTAAGTGCTGTTTGTGTGTGAAAAATGCAAAAAACAATCACTTTTACTGGAGATATCATCGTTGTAATACATTTTACTGTTTTGAAACACTAATATTTGTGTTTAGCGAAGTCTCCCGAGTAGAACAGTACCCCCCATGTACAGGTTTTATGGTGTCTTGGAAAGTTATAGGGTTAAATATAGTGCTAGCAAATTAAATTCCCTATACTTTCGGCATGGGTTGTCAGGCAGGTCCCGCTAATTGTAATTAATTAAAATACCTAATTATGTAAAAATATTACATAAATATATATGTAGAATTAATATATGTATATATATATATATATATATGTATATATATATATATATATATATATATACATATGTGTATTTTTTTTAAAATATTTTTATTTATATATAGTTATATATATAGTGATATATACGTATATATTTATGTATATAGATATATATATTATTTCGTTCTATGTGTATTTTGATATAAATATATATATATATTAATATCACAATACAGTTAGAACGAAATAATATCCCAGCTATATGATTGTGAGGTCCTCGCAAGGATCTCACTCTCACATGGCCGGGGGGGGGCCGAGGAGGCTGAATGTGCCACGGGGGGCTCCCTAGGAGTCCCCCCAACCGCGATCGCCGGCGTGGGATCGCCGGCGTGGGATCGCCGGCGACCGGGTAAGTACAAAAAAAACGGAGGGCGTACTATTACGCCTGGCGGCGTTTAGAGACGCTTAAAATAGGACGTAATAGTACGCCCCTCCGGCGTTAAGGGGTTAAAGCCAAACTCCAAAGCCCTTCTGTCCTGGATTACAGGATAAAACTTACCAGGAAAGGTTAAAGGATCTTAACATGTATAGCTTGGAGGAAAGAGGAGACAGGGGGGATATGATAGAAACATTTAAATACATAAAGGGAATCAACACAGTAAAGGAGTAGAGTATATTTAAAAGAAGGAAAATTACCACAACAAGAGGACATAGCCTTAAATTAGAGGGGCAAATGCTTAAAAATAATATCAGGACTTATTACATTACTGAGAGGGTAGTGGATGCATGGAATAGCCTTCCAGCTGCAGTGGTAGAGGTTAACACAGTAAAGGAGTTTAAGCAAGCGTGGGATAGGCATAAGGCAATCCTAGACTTAAGATAGGGCCTGTGACTAATAAAGGTATTTCGAAAATCGGGCAGAATAGATGGGCCGGATCTGCTGTCACATTCTATGTTTCTATGTCACCTACTGGGGTCTTTCCGTATTTTAGAAAGACCCCCAATGGTGTATTTGCCACTTGAAATGCGGTGACCACAGGGTACAGGGAAAGGTGAGTTTTACTCACCTGAAGCTGTTCTTCGCAGGCACCTCTGTGGGATCTTCTTCAGCTCCTTGGGCTTCATCTGCCAGGAGCCCACAGTAGTAAAACACTGATGTCTATGCAGGAGCCCGCAAGACCACAGGAGCCTCCTCAAACAAAGCCTTTCTCCCCTCAGTCATAACTTGTAATAATTAATATGAGACTTACTAACATCCAATCACTGATAGGGTTAATTTTATCATAATACTAACAACCTTGTATAGAGCAAGGAGGTCATATATTTAGTTTTGCACCTGACCATGCCAGCATGTCCCATATGAAGTTTTTGCACATCTTTTCTCTCCTATTCGAGGAAGACCCTACCCTTATACCCTCCTATTCTATGAAGTCTTAACTTAGTAATGACCCCTAGATAAATGTTAGAGCTATAGTTCGTGACATGCTTTCACTATGTTGTTGCATGATCTACCCATGCTACTAATTAATATTTGTAAATATTCTATTAGTAATTCATAAGAAAAAACACCCAGAACGCCCCTTATTATTTGCCTTAAACGTATTGTTCTGTTTAATAAACATTAAACATTCTTTGGATTGACTCCGTTGTATGGTCAAATCATTGATTGTTCCACAAGTACTCGTGGTGTGGATTGGTCTGGATGGAACTAAACTTTAGAAGTCCATGGTCTGGTGATCACCTAGGAGTATGTTCCAACATGGATGGATGGATGGATAGACAGACAGATAGATAGATAGATAGATAGATCACTTGCCTCTGTTTGAAGAAAAGGGGTTAGATACCTGTATCTATTTTACTTTAAAGACATTGACTACAGTGAGAGTTGTATGACTAGGAGAATCAAAGGCCATTATGGACAAATCGCTACTTTACAACCTACGCTTAACTCTACAGCTCTTACAGGTCTCGAAATACTGAGGTCTCTCAACGTTACTTCACAAATAACAGATATTTTCTACACATCAGCAATCACACAATTAGAATGACTCACTGACATGCAACCTGCATTATTTTCCTTTGTCTTTTCTCAAACTGCCACTCGAAGAATATTTTTTTGTCATTAATGGTTTAGTCCGTATAGAATGGCAAACCTTTTTTATTTCCTGCTATACAGTATTTGACAGTAACTATCAAACAAAATGCAAACAAAGAATTATGCTTTTTTCCAGTTTCAAGTAAATGGGGAAAAAAAAACAAGCGTTAAATGTATGGCTTTTTATTTCAGGATCAGAATTGTGCTTTTATAGAGAGCTATATCTGGTTGCATTTGATTATAGGATGCGAAACGCGTTTACATTTAAAGAGATCAAGGACAGTGTAAGTGTTACTGTTTAATGATAGTGCAGTGTAGTTTGTTAGGGTAATGTGTAATGTAGAGCAAAAATAAATAAATAAATTGTTTCAGGTGAACTGGATTTCGTCCTTGTTGGATTTCAACACAGACAAATTTCACCAATGTGGTCATTTATGGAAAAAATTATTTCGGCGAACTAAAATGGCACAAAGTATCCTGCTAAATATTTACATAATATAAATATTACGGATATATTTTGCAGTACACCGATAAGCACATTTTCGCTCTGTTTGGTTCACTAATCAAGTGAAAAGAAATAACCAGTACAAGAAAATAAGGAAGATTTGTAAAAAGACATCGCTAAACTGTGACCTTTACATGCCATGAACACTATCACTAAACATTAACCCCTGTATACACATTAACCTCAATACACTAACACTACACTAAACTAACACTAGACATTACACCCCCCAGTACACAAACAATAACCATTAATCTCCACGCTACATGTTATGCATAAAACAGTTTCTTTAGCAGCTTAGGCTCGCGAGACGGTTACAGAGAAATGCTATCTAAAACACTAAATGTTTAATAACCATGTTTGATATCTTTTATATAAATACATATAAAGCGTCCCATTCCATAGGCAAGTGAGAGCAGGAGGTATGTGTTTTTTTCTACTTTCCGTTCAATATTCCATTTATGATCTTTTGTTTTGGGATTAGATATCCTTTCTTGTGTGTGAGTCAGTTCTTATATGGTTTTAATAAAAGTGTGTCTTTAGCAGTAAATACTCTGGACGTACCTTGAAGCTACTACTTCCACTTTTATTTTCAGAGGTTCTGTTTATTGTGACAGCGCCATGTTGTCCATTGTCAGCCTGGGACTAATGTGGGTCATCACCTGGGTTGTCCATTCCATTCTCTAAAGCCAGGATTGCAAGAGTAGGGAGGGACTGTCCTTTACTAGTTTAATTTGTCTTATATGTTACATAATTACATAAATAGGTACATAGCTGAAAAGAGACTTGTGCCCATCATGTTCAGCCTTCTTCACATATCTTTTTGCTGTTGATCCAAAAGAAGGCAAAAAAACCTAGTCTGAAACGCTTCCAATTTTGCAACAAACTAGGAAAAAATTCCTTCTTGACCCCAAAATAGCAGTCAGATGTCTCCTTGGATCAAGCAGCTATGTTATTTAAGTACAGGAATATATTCGGTCTGGCAAAACATTTAACAAACCCTCAGCCAGTGTTTACACCATCCTGGATTTAGTCATGCTTTCCATGAGTATTGATAGTAGGGCTAATGGCAGTCATGTTGATTTTGAAAAGAACTCGGAATGTAAACCCAGCAGGTAAGCAGTAATGGTAACACTGGTACACAAAATTATCATATTTCCTTTCTTAAATTTAAGAAGATACAGTTTCCTAAATCTGCTAATAGATATATTTTTCTCAAACCTTAAAGTCTTAGGCCGGAGTAGACAGCATTTGGGACTCCAAATGTTTTGGGCTATGTCTTCCTTGATGCTGTAAGAGCATTATAGTAGGTGTAGTCTAAAACATCTGGAGTACTGAAAGTCGTCTACCCCTAGTCTAAGGTCTCACCAAACTGGAGCATAATCACCATCTACTTACGTTTCCAGGAAATGAATTCCTGCAAATGATATAAAGGAGGTTTTAATGAATGGAGAAACTAAAAAAAAATAAAAAACTTTGAGAAGACAGCCTGAATTAAAATAAATACCTATCATAGGTTTATATGTTATCTGCCCTTCCATTGTAAATAGTGATGTCCCGAACTGTTCGCCGAACGGTTCACCGCGGTTGGCCTCGAACAGTTCGCCGCGGACTCCAGTCAGCAGTGATGTCCTGAACTGTTCGCCAAACGGTTCGCGAACGGTTCGCCACGATCGGTTCGCCACGAACTCCAGTGGGCAGACACATTCCAGCCAATCAGCAGCAGACCCTCCCTCCCAGACCCTCCCACCTCCTGGACAGCTCACTAAGAATGCAGCTTCAAAATGGATGCTGTCCAGGAGGTGAGAGGGTCTGGGAGGGAGGGTCTGCTGCTGATTGGCTGGAATGTGTCTGCCCACTGGAGTTTGTGGCGAACCGATCGTGGCGAACCGTTCGCGAACCGTTCGGCGAACAGTTCAGGACATCACTAATTGTAAACTGTTTTGCAAGACAGGAGGCTTCATATTTGCTTTATCTTTCTTTACTGAACCTCCCAGCAGCAAAGAGATAGTTAACAATAATGTAAAATAATTCAACCAATCAGAGTGTATAACAGTATTATATGATGTCAAATATTCGCCTCCTGTCGTTAATAAAATTTAGATTATTCAGTCATTGGGGCTAGAATAATCCCTAATTATGGGAAAATATAAATCCTGGGAATTTATTGAAAATACAATTTTTATTGCATTTGTAAGAATGTGTTAGTTCTAACCTAGAGTGAATATTAACAAACTGGACTGTTCAAGCAAAAATAGTAAAAGCAACGAAGAGGTACGTAATAGTATAAACAAACATATATAGGCACTCAGCACAAGATCAACAGAAGCCGGATGCATGATGCTAGTAGGAACAGCATACAGGGATAGACACAGCAAAGTTGCTGGGATTGTGTAATCATCTGAAACTTCTGCACAGACTATGGGATGGACCTACCCAAGTCCAGATGGGAGATACTACAAAGAGTAGCTGAGAATGACAGGGCTAAGATCCTGTGGGACTTCCAGATCCAGACATACAAACAAGCACTGGCCAACCAACCTGACATCATGATGGTAGACAAGGAACGGAAGTCTGCAGTTGTGGTGGATGTGGCAATACCCAATGACTATAACATCAGGAAGAAGGAACATGAGAAGATAGACAGATCCCAAGGAGTGAAAGAAGAGCTAGAAAGGATGTGGAAAGTTAAGGCATTAATAGTCCCAGTTGTGAGAGGAGCAAGTTGGGGGAGTGGCTTCACCAGATTCCAGGTGGAACATCTGAGATTACTGTCCAGAAGAGTGCAGTTTTAGGAACAGCTAAGATACTGCACAGAACCCTCATACTCCCAGGCCTCTGGTAGTTTAAATATACCACCCAGGAGGGGTGAGAAAATCTATATACATATAATTATGTTAAATATAAATTTTGTTCTTATTGCCCTCCTATTTCCCCCAATATTGGTAACTCTACATGTAACTCTCACATGATCTGTGAACCAAATGATCAGTAAATTGCTCCTATCATTGCAGTGCAGAAGAACATATACATTATGCCTTTCTTCCATCTCTGACTGGATGTCCTCCCGCTTTCTGAAACTCAATCTCTCTAAAACTGAGCTCCTTGTCTTTCCTCCTCCTAATACTGATCCTCCTCTTTCGCTCTCCATTCAAGTTAGTGGTATCCACATGCTTGCAAGCGAGCTGTCTTGGCGTCATACTTGATTCTGGCCTCACCTTTGAGCCTTACATCCAGTTTGTTGCCAAATCCTGTAGATTCCATCTTAAAAACATAGCCTACATCCGCCCCTTTCTAACGCAAGATGCTACCAAGGAGCTTGTCCATGCGCTAGTAATTTCCCACATGGATCCTCTCCTAATCGGTCTTCCCAAAAGCCGTATTGCCCCGCTACAGTCTGTAATGAATCCTGCCGCCAGACTGATTTTCCTCTCAAGTCGGTCCTCTCACACCTCACCCCTCTGTCAGTCCTTACATTGGCTTCCTGTATCCTATAGGAGTCAATTCAAAGTGATAACTCATGCCTATAAAGCACTGAACAATTCTAGCCCCTCTTACATCTCTTCACAGATCCATAGGTATGCCACTTCTTGGTCTCTCCACTCTGCCCGTGACCTTGTCCTGTCCGCTGCTCGCACCCGTACGGCCAACTCACGCTTGCAGGACTTCTCGTGGGTGGTTCCCTTCATATGGAATAGCCTGCCTACTGCCATCAGACTCTCCCCTAGTCTTCAATCGTTTAAGAAGTGCCTTAAAAGTGCCTTAGGAAAGCTTATGGCCTCCCAGAGTAACCTCTACCTCACATACCTGTTTCTTGCTCTCTCCTAAAGGGCAGCACTTTACTTTCTCCTCCAGCTCTGCTTCACTACCACCTTATTTGATTGCTATTTCCTGTCCTAATTTGTTTTATACCCCACCTCCTATAGGCTGTAAGCTCGTTTGAGGAGGGTCCTCTTCAACCTATCGTAAGTTTTCTTGTAATTGTCCTGTTTATAATTAAATCCCCCCTCTCATAATATTGTAAAGTGCTATGGAATCTGTTGGCGCTATATAAATGGCAATAGTAATAATTATTATATTATGTATATATTTTGCAGTACACCAATTAGCAGATTTTCGCTCCCTTTTGGATTGTTTGATTAGTTACCCAAACCAGATTTTCGGTACGGAAAATATTTTCTATTTTCAATAAAAAATGGTTTCACCAAGCTAAATGTTCTCACCACACAAGTGTACAAGTCTGGTGGGCACAGGAGGGGTAATGAAACTGGTAGGTAAGTAAAAAGAGGTAGGTGGGCAACTGCGAAGTGCATCCTGAAAGTTTAAATTATCAGTAAATGATTGATTGTCTGACTCATTGATTGACTGATTACTTTATGGATCAATATACAATGGATTTTAAAAAATGATAGTCATGCAGTTTAGAAAAAATACAAATTGCATAAACTGCAGGATACAAAACTTGCTTAGCTGTCTGTCCTCATTATTTAATGTGTTTGGACACTATGCTGTGGGAATCTGCCATATAATATTGCTCACAGCTTATAGCATTTCAGGTCCAGCAATGTTAAAAAAAATTTAAAGGGCAGTTGTCATGTTTATCGTCTTGACTTAATGACAATGACATTCTTTGTTTAAGAAACATATTGTAGATCACCGTCATTTAAAACTATTTTATAGGTCGGCATTTTGTGGTTTGTTTATAGAAAACACAAACAAAAGAAAGTGTCTGCGTGTGTCCAGTGCTCTTAATTTTAGAATAAGATTACGTAATCATTAAGAAATTCTGCATACATACGGTTTCTATGGGAGCAATGATCCATGCAGACTCATTTAAAGCAGTTTCTAGACAAACCTACAGTATATTTAACATTTGTGTAATATAACAAAAAGACAGGCTGTAACAATACTTTCATTCTTTGTAAAATCAATGGCTGGGTTTAAAAAACATTTTTTTATTATTATTGCAGAGAAAAATAACAACAAATGAATAGAACTATGAATGGTAATAAACGAAGCAAAGACTTGTTAGTTTTGACAATGCTCAGCGATATGCGTTGAAATGATTTTATGTTAAATTCCTGACGGTGGAGTTTCAAGTGATTTATCAGTTAATGTATATACAAAAAGAAATAATTAGCCCAATTATGTTTTATTGTCTTTAAATTGTGTCTGAAACCTATAAACCTTTAGAGAAAATTGTCATGCAGAGTATAAGTACTACAGAAACAGAATCCTACATTAGAATATTGCTCCTTTGAAAGAATTTAGAAAAAACATACTGTATATTAATGACCAGGGCCCCTGGTCCCATTCTTGAGATTAGGGAACACGAGGGTTACGATGCATTTGGTCCCCCTCCCCCCCCAAATGCATCTTAACCTGTGTGTTTCTTAATCCCCCTCTTGAATTTCTTTACCTCTTTTTTTGTTTCTTATCCTCTCTTTTGAATGTCTTACCCCCTTTGGTATATCTTATACCCCATTTTACATTTGTGTATCTGTTACTTCAATCAGCCCCTTTGTATATATCTTTCTCCCACAGCTCTTTTGAGTGTCTCTTTCTCCCTTTTCCCAGTCTCTCTGTGTGTCTCTTACCCTTTCCCTGCCCCTTTGTGTGTCTCTTTCTCCCTACCCTCTCTGTGTGCGGGTTCCCCCAGCCCCTTTTGTGTATCTTTTTCTCCCCTTCCTCACCCCTTCTATGTCTGTTTCTCCCCTTCCCATCCCCTCTGTGTGTCTCTTCCCCACCACTTTGTCTTTTTCTCCCCCTAGTCCCTCTGTGTCTCTTTGTGTCCCACAGCCCCTCTGTGTCTCTTTATGTCCCTTCAAGCCTCTCTGAGTCTTTTTGTCCCCACCAGACCCTCTGTGTCTCTTTGTGTTCCCCCAAGCCCTTCTGGGTGTCCCCACAAACCATTTTCTGCTTCTTTTGCCCCTGTCTGTCTCTTTGCCACCTTCCCCCTCTTTTGATGGATGGACCCACCCCTTTAACAGTCAGGCCTTCCTTTGCATGAATGCACTCTTCCCTTTCTATATTTTACCTGGAAAGCAGGTATGCAGCAGTAAACATAATGCAATCACCGTCCCTAAATCTACAGATATAGTCCAAGGGGTTAAGAGTTGGAGCCTTCAGGGTTAATGGGCGTGTTGGGGAGGGACCAATTATAGGGACTGATGAGGTCATCAAGAGTGCTTTGGGTGAAGCCCCTCATATTTTTTAGAACATTCCAATAACCCTGCTACTGTACAAAACTAATTGGTAGCTTCAGAGGAGAAAGATTGGCAAGATGCCATTTTAACATGCATCATGTTATACATAGACAATAAATCTGAATCTCATATACGATATTGTTCAGTTTATAATGCAATTCTCATTTCTATAGTATAATTTATAATGTCTTCTAAGTTATTCCATCCTTGAATAACTAGATAGAATATTGTCAAACCTTGCTATGACAAAACAAAACATGAAATAATATATACTGCTCAATTTTAGGCAGTGCAGTATTAAAAAAAAATTGTATTAAAAATACATACGCACACATGGTTTGTTTTATAAAAGAACAACATTATTAATAAGGCAAATATTTTCACAAATCACTGTATGAGTATTCACATCGCCCTATCCAATAAGGAAATATAATTAGCTATTATACATTTTCATATAACAGAACCTCGCTCCAGTATTTTAGGGGAAAACAAGTTTGTAATCTTTTTTTAAAAAAAGGTATTTTTTTAGGTGGTTTCTAAAAGACAGACTCACAGAGATAGATAAGAGAAATGCTTTGAAACAGATGATTTGTCTCAAGAGACTCTGGGTACAATGGCACAGAAAAAAGGCTTTTCAATGAGATGTGAGGC